ACTCAATGTAGAAGTTATAATTTTTGACACAGTGAGGCCCTCATATCTACAAATTAAAGCAACACTTCTTTGGACAGAACTATTTTTTTTTAAAACCTGTTAATAACCAAAAAGGTTTAGAACACTTTGGTGATCACATACTACATCATCAGATGGTCTCTGTTAGGCTGAACAAATACAATAACAGAGCCCTACACCACACGGCAACAAACAGGTCTATAAACACTGAGTAACAACAGGTCACAGCACACATGCCTGTCTCAGGTGTTGGGTATCAGATTTACATAACTGTACTTGGCAGCAGGTAATACACAGGAGTTTGTGCAAAGTAATAAATTACCCTGAAAGGCTTCAACAGTGCTGCTGTTTATAGGTGGTAAAAGACAATATTGACAGTAAAGTAACAGTAGCAAACTACATGGTAATGCTGGAAGTCTTAAACAATAGAATAACGAATGGGTCTTTTGGCAAGAGAGCAGTCGTGGTGTAGTGGCTGTACACCTGCCTGTAGATTTGAAGGTCATGGGTTCAAATCTGCAAGGAGCCGGATCATTTCATACACAATCTTCTGTTTCTGTTTAAACAACTGATCAACATCATGGCATAAGGATGATGACCCAAAAGTGCTCTGTTCTACTTCTAACTCAAGCCGGAGTATGAAGAATCACAGCGCAGTGCACAAACTCCGTAGCATTGACAAGGATCCTGAAATGTTTTAGTAGATTTTTAACAGAAATTTTTTTGCCAGGTGCCGTTAGGCTACACTTTTCAATTTCCATCTGCCAAGGGATTTTTTTTTGTTACATGCGCAACAAAACACACCAGCATGTATAATATCTACAAGTTCATGGCAATTGCACTACTAGCCATGCCGACTTTGAAATCCTCAGAATCAAAGACTCACGACCTAAGGACATTCTTCATGGTGGAAGATGTTAAGGTCAGCCTCTACTACATTAAAAGTGCAAGTGGGACATGAATGATATAGGTACTGAGGTAGAGAACTGAATGCCATGGACTGTTTTGCATGAAAGGAAAAACCATGAAAAGAACAGGGATAAAAACAAAATTAACTGCAGATAAGTTATCAGCTGAGCGTCTGAGCAGGCTAAAAGCATGCTATGGCAGCATGGTCCTGAAATCACATGCTGTAACTGTAGACGACTGCTTAATTTGAGAGGGAGTTGCTGGTCACACGTGACATAATCTTGGGCTGTGACTCCCAGGCCTCACTACAGCATATTATAACCACAGCTGTACCAAACATTCGCTTCATAATCGCATTAGGGCCGAATAGTGGACCTAATAAGTATTCGGTATTTGGCAGAATACTTGCGGTCAGGCCAAATACGAATAGTGGTTACGTTACACCGGCTTCTGCACGCACGGCGGCTGCTGCAGCCACTGCAAATTACTTGTTATAATACTTAGAATACATTCATTCCTCATTATTAGTTACCACAGATTGACTGAAGGATGCAAAACATAAAACGTTTTTAAATGTTTCCGATTCTGTACTACATTTTGTCTTTACTGGTTATCACTTCGGCTTTCAGAAAGCACTATTTCCGATAGTATAGCCTTGTACACTGGTGGGAATGCACCCTGTGAGTTCTTTTCAGGATTCTGAGCCACTCTTCCCGACTCTTCAGAAACCAAGCTATAGCTAGTCACCTGAAACATTTAGCGACACAAGGTGCTATTTTGTTACCATATTTTTTACAGCCAGTGATAATGCCACAGTCAACTAAAACAGTCAGACGCCACACTGCCCGCCTCGCCAACATCCAAGCCAAAGCAGTTCGCCCCCGCGAACCGGACAGTGATGAAGCGTCAAGCCTGACGGACCTTGAGACACAGCCAGTTGTTGCAGAAGACTCCGCCACCAACGACCTGATCCAGCCAAACATAATAGGCAGAACAGGAAGACCAGCCGGAGCCTAACCTTGCCACCACCCTCGCCCATAGCTCCCCGACGGCACCCTTCACTGCCACCACCACCATGTTCCAGCCTGCTCCCAGCTCAAGAAGAACAGCAGAGCTCCAGACCAAGATACAGTTCAAACAGACCAGGATAGGCCAAGCTGGCCACAATGACCGCAATAGCCATCATAAGTCTACTGGAGCTCCTGCTGGGTAAGAGAACCATTTCCGGAAGGCTAAGGATGGCGTGATCGCTAAGGTTTAAAACACCAAGAACCACAACTCTGGTAAGCGATATTCGAAAAGGGACTGCACCAGATTTATAACTCCCACATGAAATCACGGTCGCAGCCAGTATATATCACAGTGTGAGGTGCTGGATCATCAAGAGCATCGACCTAAAGCTTCAAGGAATGGACATACAAAAAAAACTTCAGGCCGAGAACTCTAACTTAAAAATAGTAACAGTGGAGCGTCCCAAATCCGGCAAAGTAGCTACCTCAGATGCAGTCTAAATGCCAATTCTGCAGTTCGCTCGTTGTCAAAAGGCGTGGCAGTCAACTGGGATGTGCTGCAGCAAAGTAATCATCTGCAGATACTGTGCCCAGTAGAACACCTTCAATGAGTACCCGCTTGCCAAGAAAGATAAAGACTTCAAGAAGGCCAACAGCAACAGAAGATGTGCACACTGCTCAGGAGCCCATAGCGCCAGAGATCTTGGGAGCCCATTCTTGTGACAGTGCAGAGAAACGATGCAGACCGCCAACTCTGAGAACATTTCTTACCAGGAGGCAAGATGGAGACATGAGGCACCTAGGAGCTCAGCTGTACAAAAAACCTCACAAATCAGACACTAGGTGGCACAGCTCAGGCAAGAAGTCAAAGGCCTCCATTCAGCAAAGGCGAACAAGGCAATCAACAAACCAGATCTCTCCCAGCTGGGACATTGTAGCCAATCAGACTGCAGCACAGGTTAGGTCATAGATCGACATGCTGGCTGAAATGATTGAGTCACTACACGCCACCCAGACAGCTGAGGAGACACGCAGACAGGAGGACAGCAAAGAAACCAAGTCTCAACAGGACTGACAAATGTACCTCCACAGACATGTTAGCCGAGAAAGCTGATAAAGGTACATCCACTGAAGAAAGAATAATGAAGCACCAGGCACAGCTGACAGAACCCACCAAAAGCACAGACCAAAGCACCAAAACAAGCAAAGACGACCAAGTTTTGGAGAACCCAGAAGCAGGTACCAAAAGCCAGCTAAGTGAGGCAGATGTGGAGGAAATTCACTGACGACTGAACCAGATGTTCCCTCACAAGCTGGAGGTGAATAAAAGTCTTCACAGTGTATGAAATGGAAGCGAGGAATAAAGAGGAGGAAGGCCTAAAGCCAGAAAAATGTGAAACCAGCCGTTGTCGATATTTCCTACTAAATAAAGAACTGAGAGCAGCAAGGAAACGCCTGGTTTAGCAGGAAGCACAAGACAAGGTGCTTACCACCAAAACTAGAAAACCCACCAACACAGCTGTGGACACCAAGGCAGGAGAAGACCATCACAAGAGACCCAAACCAACCTGTTCCATGTCACCCCAGGCAAAATGACAGTCTTTTTTAGGGCTGTCTATCCACTCCACAAATGCAGCCAATATAAAACCACCAAACCTGACTCGACAAACAGCAAAGGAGCCAGCTCACCACCCGAGTAACAGTTGAGACGCTGCACGCAAAAAATGCCAGCATCAGACCCACAGGAGTCCCACCCACCCGTTCCAGGCTGACCCGAGCAAAATTGAATCCATTCCCACGCTGCAGAAAAGAGCCAAACAAAAAGCCACCGATACCAGCCCAGCCAGACTACGCTGACATGTTGAAACAAGGAAACAAAAAAATCAGGCAAATTTTTTTCAACACAAAGAAACTGAATTCAAACTACGACAGCAAAGGATCAGTCCTCCATATAGCTGGTCCTCAGGTGGCTCAAAGAGGACTAAGCTTAGAATTTTTGTTTTTCAAACTGAAATTGGAAGTTTGAGAGCCATTGTTATAAAGGACTCTTTTTTACACCATACATAAAGGACCCTTTTTTTTAAACACCATACAGATTTGAATCCATGACCTTGATATTCAAAGGCAAGCATCTAGTCGCTATACCACAGTGGTTCCATGTAGCAGATAAGAAATTGACTTTTTTTTTTTTCAAAAACAGATAACTACAGCTTATTTGCATCCACCTAGCTGTTGTGCCCCCAAGACACATACGATCAAAAGTAGGTTTTAAACTGTCACGTCATTAATCACCGGCAAGCCTTGACAAGTAAGCTTTCACTCTACAACCTAGTGGTGAGGCATATTAAATGGTCACAGACCACCAATGAGTCTTCTCTCTGGCTGTCATGTACAGCCTGTGGACAGAGGCTGAAAGTCTGACAGGGTTAATTAATCTCTGCTGGATGCCAGGGGGAGATAAGTGTCTGAGGCACTAGATACAAATGTTTCAATTATCTTAGTTGTTTGTGTTCTGACTTGAATGTTTACACAAGTTCAGTATCACATGACACTATTCTTCTTTTTTATCTTATCTATATTTTGGGAAAGAGGGGGCTGGGATGTGTTCAGCTGAAAACATATTGCAGCCTAGCTGTAAAGGACACCACAACATGCAAAATGCCCTCTTAAGTTGAACAAAGAAGGAGAAGAAGAAGAAGAAGAAGTATTGGGAGGAGGAGGAGGAGAAAAAGAAGAAGAAGAGGGGGCTGGGATGTTTTCAGCTGAAAAGTTAACACATTGCCTAGCTGTAAAACAAACCACAACATGCAAAATGCCCTCTTAAGGTTGAACAAAGAAGGAAAAGCAGAAGAAGAGGAAGAAGAAGAAGAAGAAGACGAAGTTATATAAAAAAGGAGGAGGAGGAGAAGAGGATGAAGAAAAAGAAGAAACAGAAGAAGATAAAATACAGCCATATAGTAATCAGAGTTTTAAACACTAAAACTATCTGACCCATAATAAGACGTCTGCATATGAGAGAAAAAAAATCAGACCTACATATTTTTAGAAAGGATTGAAGCTTACCCCCTGCTTGTACCGCAAACTGCCACTCCTTCTCAATGTTCCACTTTTTGCAGCATCCTCTTGTATATCTGTGGCTGTACCATCACGGTTTGGTCTGACGCTCAGTTCTATCAGCTCTTGAATAGGCTGAACCTTGAGGATCATTTTGTCTGATGCATTCTTGATAATTTCAACTATCTCCTCCCTGGACATGTTTTCCACATTGTGTCCATTGATCTAGAAGTATAAATGAACACATTACAGCTTGAATAGCTTCTTACTACACAAATGAGAATTACATAAATATATTTTAATGACTTAAAAGGCAAAGAAATATACTCATATACTTCCCATCATTTCTGACACAGATGATCCTCGATAACATGATGCTAAACTTTCCAACATTTTCTCTCTTGGTCACCCTTTGCATCTGCTCCCCTCCAATGTTGCTGTTTGTCATGAAGTAGTTTTCCTCTTCTCATGATATGACCAGAGAACAGAGATCATCACCTTCTTATGATGTAAACAGAGAACAGAGATCATCAACTTCTTATGATGTGACCAGAGACCATCACCTTCTCATGATGTGACCAGAGACCAGCACCTTCTCATGATGAGAACAGAGATCATCACCTTCTTTTGATGTTACCAGAGACCAAAGAGCATCACCTTCTCATGATGTGACCAGAGAACAGAGATCATCACCTTCTTATGATGTGACCAGAGACCAGAGATCATCACCTTCTTATGATGTGACCAGACAACAGAGATCATCACCTTCTCATGATGTGACCAGACAACAGAGATCATCATCTTCTCATGATGTGACCAGACAACAGAGATCACCATCTTCTCATGATGTGACCAGAGACCAGAGATCATCACCTTCTCATGATGTGACCAGAGATCATCACCTTTTCATGATGTGACCAGAGTTCTTATGATGTGACCAGAGTACAGAGATCATCACCTTCTTATGATGTGACCAGAGACCAAAGATCATCACCTTCTTATGATGTGACCAGAGACTAGAGATCATCACATTCCCATGATGTGACCAGACAACAGAGATCATCACCTTCTTATGATGTGACCAGAGATCATCACCTTCTCATGATGTGACCAGAGACCATCACCTTCTCATGATGTGACCAGAGATCATCACCTTTTCATGATGTGACCAGAGATCATCACCTTCTTATGATGTGACCAGATATCATCACCTTCTCATGATGTGACCAGAGATCATCACCTTCTCATGATGTGACCAGAGAACAGAGATTATCACCTTCTCATGAAGTGACCAGAGATCATCACCTGCTCATGATGTGACCAGAGACCAGAGATCATCACCTTCTTATGAAGTGACCAGAGATCAGCACCTTCTTATGATGTGACCAGAGATCATCACCTTCTCATGAAGTGACCAGAGATCATCACCTTCTTATGATGTGACCAGATATCATCACCTTCTCATGATGTGACCAGAGATCATCACCTTCTCATGATGTGACCAGAGAACAAAGATTATCACCTTCTCATGAAGTGACCAGAGATCATCACCTGCTCATGATGTGACCAGAGATCATCACCTGCTCATGATGTGACCAGAGATCATCACCTTCTCATGAAGTGACCAGAGATCATCATCTTCTTATGATGTGACCAGAGACCAGAGATCATCACCTTCTTATGATGTGACCAGAGACCAGAGATCATCACCTTCTTATGATGTGACCAGAGATCATCACCTTCTCATGATATGACCAGATAACAGAGATCATCACCTTCTCATGATGTGACCAGAGACCAGACATCATCACCTTCTCATGATGTGACCAGATAACAGAGATCATCACCTTCTTATGATGTTACCAAAGACCAAAGAGCATCACCTTCTCATGATGTGACCAAAGAACAGAGATCATCACCTTCTTATGATGTGACCAGAGACCAAAGATCATCACCTTCTTATGATGTGACCAGAGACTAGAGATCATCACCTTCTCATGATGTGACCAGACAACAGAGATCATCACCTTCTTATGATGTGACCAGAGATCATCACATTCTCATGATGTGACCAGAGACCATCACCTTCTCATGATGTGACCAGAGATCATCACCTTTTCATGATGTGACCAGAGATCATCACCTTTTTATGATGTGACCAGATATCATCACCTTCTCATGATGTGACCATAGATCATCACCTTCTCATGATGTGATCAGAGAACAGAGATTATCACCTTCTCATGAAGTGACTAGAGATCATCACCTGCTCATGATGTGACCAGAGACCAGAGATCATCACCTTCTTATGAAGTGACCAGAGATCAGCACCTTCTTATGATGTGACCAGAGATCATCACCTTCTCATGAAGTGACCAGAGATCATCATCTTCTTATGATGTGACCAGAGACCAGAGATCATCACCTTCTTATGATGTGACCAGAGACAGATCATCACCTTCTCATGATGTGACCAGAGACCAGAGATCATCACCTTCTTATGATGTGACCAGAGACCAGACATCATCACCTTCTCATGATGTGACCAGATAACAGAGATCATCACCTTCTTATGATGTTACCAAAGACCAAAGAGCATCACCTTCTCATGATGTGACCAAAGAACAGAGATCATCACCTTCTTATGATGTGACCAGAGACCAAAGATCATCACCTTCTTATGATGTGACCAGAGACTAGAGATCATCACCTTCTCATGATGTGACCAGACAACAGAGATCATCACCTTCTTATGATGTGACCAGAGATCATCACATTCTCATGATGTGACCAGAGACCATCACCTTCTCATGATGTGACCAGAGATCATCACCTTTTCATGATGTGACCAGAGATCATCACCTTTTCATGATGTGACCAGAGATCATCACCTTCTTAAGATGTGACCAGATATCATCACCTTCTCATGATGTGACCAGAGATCATCACCTTCTCATGATGTGATCAGAGAACAGAGATTATCACCTTCTCATGAAGTGACCAGAGATCATCACCTGCTCATGATGTGACCAGAGACCAGAGATCATCACCTTCTTATGAAGTGACCAGAGATCAGCACCTTCTTATGATGTGACCAGAGATCATCACCTTCTCATGATGTGACCAGAGATCATCACCTTCTCATGATGTAACCAGAGAACAGAGATTATCACCTTCTCATGAAGTGACCAGAGTTCATCACCTGCTCATGATGTGACCAGAGACCAGAGATCATCACCTTCTTATGAAGTGACCAGAGATCAGCACCTTCTTATGATGTGACCAGAGATCATCACCTTCTCATGAAGTGACCCGAGATCATCATCTTCTTATGATGTGACCAGAGACCAGAGATCATCACCTTCTTATGATGTGACCAGAGACAGATCATCACCTTCTCATGATGTGACCAGAGACCAGAGATCATCACCTTCTTATGATGTGACCAGAGACCAGAGATCATCACCTTCTCATGATGTGACCAGATAACAGAGATCATCACCTTCTTATGGTTACCAAAGAGCATCACCTTCTCATGATGTGACCAAAGAACAGAGATCATCACCTTCTTATGATGTGACCAGAGACCAAAGATCATCACCTTCTTATGATGTGACCAAAGACTAGAGATCATCACCTTCTCATGATGTGACCAGACAACAGAGACCATCACCTTCTTATGATGTGACCAGAGATCATCACATTCTCATGATGTGACCAGAGACCATCACCTTCTCATGATGTGACCAGAGATTATCACCTTTTCATGATGTGACCAGAGATCATCACCTTCTTATGATGTGACCAGATATCATCACCTTCTCATGATGTGACCAGAGATCATCACCTTCTCATGATGTGATCAGAGACCAGAGATTATCACCTTCTTATGAAGTGACCAGAGATCATCACCTGCTCATGATGTGACCAGAGACCAGAGATCATCACCTTCTTATGAAGTGACCAGAGATCAGCACCTTCTTATGATGTGACCAGAGATCATCACCTTCTTATGATGTGACCAGAGACCAGAGATCATCACCTTCTTATGATGTGATCAGAGACAGATCATCACCTTCTCATGATGTGACCAGAGACCAGAGATCATCACCTTCTTATGATGTGACCAGAGACCAGAGATCATCACTTTCTCATGATGTGACCAGATAACAGAAATCATCACCTTCTTATGATGTGACCAGAGACCAGACATCATCACCTTCTCATGATGTGACCAGATAACAGAGATCATCACCTTCTTATGATGTTACCAAAGACCAAAGAGCATCACCTTCTCATGATGTGACCAGAGAACAGAGATCATCACCTTCTTATCCCCCGTGTGGGTTCCGGGGCCCCATTGTGGGGAGAACAAGAATAGACCCACTGCCTCCCCAAAAGCATGTCGTAAGAGTCGACTAATTGGGGAGCTTCCTTTGAAGTCGGAGTGCATCTGCCGGAGAGGCAAGGAACCAACAGTCTGTATTCAAGAGAATGAGATCTGTAAAACTGATGCACACGCAACACTCAGGTTCTGGAGCAGGACTGCAGTTCAGTAGTGGAGGAGCAACCAGAACTTTCCGCCAGAGTGTACAGCTGGTGAACGCGAAGAAGAAGAAGAAGATCACCTTCTTATGATGTGACCAGAGACCAGAGATCATCACTTTCTTATGCAGGAAATCAGTTCTCTTCATGAGTTTATTTCTTTCCAGATGCTTCCATTTAACATTTTTTAATCTGCGCGTAGTCTTCACAAAAATATCAAAGATTCTGAATATGAAGGCTCAATAGTGAACAACAATGAGACTTAAAAAAAAAAAGACAGAAAAGTTTTAGCAATGTAGAGACTAAACAGCATAAAAAAACGTAGACAATAAAATAAAACAGACTTGAGTAAAGCATTTACAATGGCACAACACCTGCAAGTCAGTTAAAGTGAAAATTTTTAGGTCATGCATCTTTGTCCTGGCAACTTATGGACTCTTCTTATTCAATCAGTGAAGAACAAAACTGGAGCTTTTGAAATCAAATACTATATAAAAATTCTTGCCCAGCTCGCTAGCGTAGTTGGCTAAGCCTGACTCCGCGACAACCGGGCAACAAACTCCTTGTCGTCCGGGTTCACGCCCAGGGGTAGGCATAAAAGCAACATTTATCCCAGATTTATGGTATTTATCATGGAATCAAGGCCAAAGGATTGCGATATCCATAGTACCGAGCAAATGGGTTAAGAACTCATGGCTTCTGGATATTTAAAAAAAAAAAAAAAAGAACTCTTAAAATACAATAGACCAAGAAGAAGAAAAACACCAATATCCTATATTATCTGAGCATCAAGAAGAAATGGTTCATAAACAGCATCCGAAAGCTGCGATATTTTAAGTCATGTTAAACATTATAGTGGCAGACTGGAGAAAGCGGTGATTGAGGACACATATTCTAGAACAAAAAGCAAAGACACGTCTCTGCAAAGGTGGATACAAGATATTGGATATGCATTGAAGAAAAAGAAGAGGATGCATTGGCTATGAAAGCACATAGGGCTAGAGAACTAGCTAGACTTTCAGGTGTGTCAGGATAAGAGTGATGTGCTGTCAATGACCTGCTGATGGATGATGATGATGATCTTCTCATCATTCATCTGTAATACCACATTTTTGCAGCTTCCACATAATTTTCAATAATCAATTCTGTCTATAATTTAATTTCATACGTCAGGATTGGTTCTACATAACCTTATTGTGTACAGACATACCGTTTATGCGTGACTGAATATCTAAATTTTCCAATAAAAGCCCAAGCAAACTCACTTCAATTAATTTATCTCCAGGCAGAAGCCCAGTCTGTATGCTGCCTGGCCCACTCCCTGGCTCAGCAAATGTGACCACTTGAGGTGGTCCACCTCCAGGTTCTGGAATCAATCCCTTTCGCAGGCTAAACCCAAATCCTCCAGACTGCATCCGTTGCACTTCTATTTCTCTAATCCTTGGTGGTTTAGGTGGTATGATAGGGGGCAATTTTAGCTTCGATTCAAAAGGTTTGAGTTTGATGTCCTCCTCTTCATCATCTGGGGTGGCTGATGTCACTTGGGAAGACAATGTTGCTGCCTCAGATTGCTGGACTGATAATGCAGTCGAGTTTGAAGAAGACGTCTGCTGTACAAACATGTCCTCATTGCGCTTTGTGTTCTCTTGAAGAAGTTTTGAATCATCCAAGTTGAGAGAAGCATTAACACTAGATCCTGCATCTCCTTTTCCTTTAAGAATACTTTTCACTTTGGGCTTTGGCATAACCGCAGGTGGGTCTCTTCTAGAACTAGCAGCAAGCAGTTGCTGTCTGGGTAATGGCTGTGGCTTGCTGAGATGTTTAGCCTCTTTGACTGGACTAGAATGTGCAGATGAAGCACTATCCATGGCGTCCTCACTCTCTCCTGGACTTGAAAGGTCAGTAGACTTCTGGCCGCTCCGTTTCTTATCCCTATCACTAAATTTCCTCAACATTCCTTTCATCTCTTCAATCCTTGTTATTTCTTCTGGGGTCATATTTTGCCTTTCTTTCTTTTCCAGGTGTTTTTTATCTTGTTTTTCATCTTTCTCCTTTTTCTTTTTATCTTTTTCCTTCTTGTCTTTGTCCTTTTCTTTATCTTTTTTAATAAAACTGAACATTTTTAACACTATCCTTTTGATTCACGATTCAAATTCAAGCTTTCTCTTTCTGACTCTGTGAAAAGAAAACAAAAAAACATTTAGACATTGCTGAATGACATTGTAAGTTCTAGTTCTGTAATAATTTCTTTTTTTCTGTGTTCTACCTTAAAAGGAAAACTGTCACGCTGTGTTGTGGTTTATAGCTAGGCAGCACTAGGTTTTGATACCTTCTACTTTTGGTAAAACACATCAACTGTCAGCAAATCCCTAATTTATTGCCATTTATGTTATGCCTCCTAAGGGGCAGTGGGTCTATACCCCCATCCCTGATTCCCCCCCCCCCCCCCCCCCCCCCGATGGGGGTTGGAACGTACACAGGAAACATGGGTATTAGTATTAATATAGGGATATGATACCACTGCTAGTGTCTGCTGCAAAGGCTGAGAAAAGGGTTGAAGAATTACCGTAAGGCAAAGCTAAGTCCACCAGGCTTTGGATATTTGACTATATTTAAATACCGAGGACACGAACAATATGCAGCACAATTTAACCCCTGGCAACTTTTGCTGCATCTTGTCATAAGGTATGTCTAGAACAGCACTGGGCAGTGACTTGAGGCAGGGGAACTTTTATTTATGTAATTAATTACCAAGAGGAAACAATAATTACGGTAAAACTGTGGGATAAAGTAAAACATATCAATCAACATTGTTGATCTGGTTATGCTCACCACCTAACCAGATAAGTACATTTATTTCCCAGCTGTCCTCATCTGGGTTCCATGCCTCAGTTTTGTAGTGAGAAAGAATAGACCCCTGTTCCCAAAAACCATGTCATAAGAGAAGACTAATTATGATTTTGCTGAAAGTGAATGTTTTCAGTTGCAAGGGATGGATATCACAGCCTAGCTGTAAACAATTACACAACCTGCGAACCGGCCTTTTGAGAGCGAGCGTAGGAAAAGGAAGATCTAGTTATTTATGGGCTTATCTTACGTATCTTCCATGTCTCTCTCTCTCTCGAAAATGTGGAAGGGACTGTGTGTCGTACAAAGAAAAAGGAGGAGTAGGAGAAGAAGGAGGAGAAGGAGGAGGAGAAGGAGTAGGAGGCGAGGAAGAGGAAGAGAAAGAGGAAAAAGAAGAATGTAATGTTGGTATTTTCCCACAGGCATTCCCTAAACGGGATATAGGAGTAAACGTGAGATAAGAGAAGAATACATGAGAATGTGAATACTCGTGGAAACACAAGATATACAAACGGTGCTCAAGCCAGCACGTGAAACCCACAACGAGGGTTGTAACATTAGACCAAGGTCTAATGGCAACCTGATGTCAGCCTAACCAGAAGTGGTAGCCGACGAGATCCAACCGGGCAAGGAGTCTAACAGCCATAATCAGAGATGCAGAATCAACCACTGTGTGTATTGCGAGTGTAATGAAACAGGACTAAAAGGTCAAGAGTGTGGATGGTAGTAGACTTCAATTCTGTGCTTGATAAATGCCATCATCTCTTGTTGGACCATGCTAGCCAGTACTAAACAGTGACTGGACAAAATTACCTCTGAAAATTGAATGAACAAAATAAACGGATATCTTGACTACTCGTTACCAACTGTGTACATTCAGAATGTCATCCATGTCTTAGATATGAAAGATCTCTAGCAATCAGCTAGCACCCCGAGGAGACAATATCCCAAAGAAGAAGAAGAATAGGAGGAGGAGAATGAGGAGGAGAAGAAGGAGGAGCAGCAGCAGCAGAAGAAGCAGATTAAGAAGAAGAAGAAGAGAAGAAGAAGAAGGAGGAGGAGGGCAATTACATTTAGCTAGCATGTTTAAAATGTAGTTCTACGACATCAACTAAACTGCTATTTTGATATCATCAAGCACATAATGAATCACTGGATTAATAAAAATAATTAAGCAAAAATATAAAACAACCAGAAATTGTTTTCATTACTTGCTTTAACAACATGAAACAACAATCCTGGTAGACACAGTTCAATTAATGACACAGTTCAATTAATAGGTAGATTAAGTCAGTGACTAGCAAGCAGGAAGAAAATCTCCTAAAGCAAGACATTTTGTTTTTAGTCTCTTGTCTTCAAACTGACAAGATTAAATGCCTTTGTTGATCAATACAATTCTATCTTGCTCTCTCTCTCTTTCTCTCTCCCTGTATGTTTGTGTTAGAAAAAAGAGTCAAAAAGTAAGTGAGACAAAGGTGGAAACAGACAATTATTAGAAGATAAAGCTAATAGAAATGAAATGCCGTACCTTTATCCTTATGTCAAATAAGTACTGCTGTATGAAGCAGAAATGATCGAGACAATCACTAGGAGCCTACAAATATTCACCAACTGGTGCCTGCAGTGAACATGAAGCACTGCATGGTAGGATAGAATTACAAGTATAAAGTTTGAGAAGATAAAGAGACAAATTTCAATGAATCTTGGGTGAGCAAAATAAAATGGACAGTGCACACATTGAGGAAATTTCTTAACTGCATCTCTAGATTGTCTCAGCATTGGAATTAAAGAGAGACAAAGAAAACAAAGAGAGCCTAATAAACTTATTTTTTTTCATTCAATGGCTGTAAACTACAGGGGAAAAGTTCTGGTTGGTCATTCACCTCTGTACTTTGGTCTTGTTCTATAATTTAAGTTTTGCATGCACATCCCTTTTACAGATCTGACTTATTTGTATGCAGACTGCTGGTTCCTCACCTCTCAGGCAGATGGACTCAAAGGGCTTCAAAGGGCACTCCCTTAATTCGTCCTCTCTTACAACATGCATGTTAGGGTTTATTAGTTCTCCTCCGAAACTGGTGCCCCAGAACCCACACAGAGACCCAATGTTTCACCTGGGAAAATCCCCAGAACTAACACCTGGAAAGTTAGAGCCTTGTACCATGCGGAGGTCAGCAGAGGTATCAGGAGAAATAAAACACTTTAGGATTTGTATTTCAGGATTATGTGAAACAAGATGGGTCAGGGCCTGGAAAAGTATTTGAAATTAAGGTGAAACTATTTGATTCTCAGTCCACATAGAAGCTCTAATTATCCCCATGGTAAGGGATTGGCTACAATGCTGTTGAAAGAGGCACAAAGGGTACTAAAAGAATGGGGGCTATCTTCCTAATAACGGTCCGAAATTATCGAGGCCAAAAATATACCCTAACAGGGCCTCAGTCACATGTCAAATGCGGACTTCCTGCGACTTAAATTGCGCACTTCCGGCGACTACCGCCACCGACGAGAGTACCCCCCACGCCACTATACTCTTGAGTCCTAGCCATTTAGTTTAGCCCAAATCCCGCAGCGTGGGAGATACTCTCGGCGGTGGGGAAAGTCTGCAACTGACATGTGACTGAGGCCCTGTTAGGGTATATTTTTGGCCTCGATAATTTGGGACAGTTATTCAGAAGATAGCCAGAATGGGAATTAGTGAGTCCTAGAAAAATTACAGTGTCATTTAAAACAGAAAGTTTCTATGAAGAAAAGACACATGTAATAAAAACCTGGAAAAAAAATAACTAGAATGTCTATGCAGTGGAACCCATAAGACAGAAATAAATCAGACAAAACAAAGAGAAGGCAGCTAGAGAGCGAAGTTAAAAAGACAGGCAGGACACAGGATGAGCTGCATGCAACAGCAAAGTATAAGACTAAAGACGACTTAGCGTGAGTTGGGTAGGGTCTTGGCTCAATCTGAGAATAACGGGTATAAGAAGAAGACACAGCTGGTTTATTTTTATGTACCATAATCACAATGTGTGGAATTATGTAACAAATAAGACTCCAGGCATTTCAAATGTTACTTCTAATAACTGAAATTATTATTATTATCATCTTCAGTTCAGTGGTGTGCAAACTGGCAAAGGGTGTGTTCTCTTTGTTCCTTATAATGAACTGTTGCAAATAATGAAGAAGAGCATACAACAACAATAGATTACATTAGCATTTTAAAGATCTATTCAAATCCAGGTTTTACAATTCTAATAAATACTTATTAACCGAACTGTCAAAGAATAGCAGACTACTTAATGATGACTTATATTTATCTTATAAACAGGCAAATAAATACCCGAAGTACCCATTCCTTCTGACACTTCTGTTGTTCTGTTAATTAAATAGGTATTATAGCAAATAATTATAAATTTTTAGTAAAATATAATCTATAACACAGAGGTGTGAGTACGTCTACATTAAAGGAAAATAAAACAATCGTCCTTTCTTCTTTAAAAAACAAACGAAAAGACATCCTACTTGCAAAGGGGACAATAGTCCACTTTCTGTGAAGCGACCGACACTCTACTCCTGATTCCGGAAGCTGTCCGCTTCCACAACAAGCAACAAACGCTTGCCGGTCCGGGTCTAAACAATGGTGAATGGACACTTCAACATGGTGAAACAATCTCTGAAACATACAGAGTTAAAACATCGGCGTGACTAGCAGCCTGGAAACACAACACGGTTAGCAATTATCCCGGCTAGAGAACAAACAATGACCTCATGCGAACTTTCACTTTCCGGGATGCAAAGCTAGCAGAAGATGGCGGATAGCTTGAAATGTAACTCTCCCGATTGAAGACTGCTACAATAGCGTCTGCGTTTAGGAGTGAGTAACTTACTCACCCCTACTTTTTGCTCGCTTCTTAGATTAGAGTATGTAAGATTAAAATAATAACTATGACATAAATAAAATGTTTTCCTATCATGTTAGGTGTGGCAAGGAAGTATCGACTTAGAAACGATATCATGAAGAGAGTTGCACAGACTTAAGAAAAAGTCCCAATCATCAAGCAAGAGAAACACCGAGGCACCATATACACATATAAAAACTGACACGAATATGTGTGTAGCTCTCAAACCAGAACCATTGACGAGTTGTCCATAACTATACAGAAAAGTAGTTGTAGTAATTTACAAATAAATTATGTTTAAACCTCAGGGTTATAATTTGGATGTATAGTGTTTAACTGAGTTCTCAGGGTATATATATATATATATATATATATAT